CTCATTTGGCTTATGATAGGATTTGATGGAGAGTTGCTCGAAAAAATGATCATGGGACTCCCTTATATCTCATCCATACTTCCTGGACCACTTAGCCTTCCACCAAGTAGAGAAGAAAGGAGTGCACTCAAAGTTGAGGGCCACGAGCTTGCGGGCAATCTTGCTCATCACCTCTAAGATACGCCAAGTTGCTCGAAATGTGATCTCCTGAGGAGAACGGAGGTAGCAGGAGGTTTTGTAGTGTACAGAGTCGAAAAAATGGACTAAAATGGCTTGTCTAAACCCCTCATTACCTAGCACAGAAGTTGGGGTGGTAAACCTTCAACCCGTGCTCATATCATGTGCGGCATTTCGCACTCTCCAAGCTAAGTCTTGTTGCTGGATGCAGCTCACAAACTTTTCCTTACATAGCAGGCTGACGTCTTCCCCGAATGCGTCCTGAAAGATTTGGTCTGAGAACCATGGGTATCTTCGCAGAACAGAAGCACCCAACTCTAAGTTTGCTCGAGTCCTGCAAACTCGGAAGAAATAGAAGCAGGAGAATGTTGAATGATTGGTTAGGGATGCCTCGGCCAAAATGCGGGCATGAACCACTCATTTGGGGAACTCTAAGTTTAGCACCTACAGCTCGGGAAAATACCATTGCAGCCACAACTGGACCATCCAGGTTAGCCTATAAAGGTTAGTCTCACAGGGCTCACCTTGGTTATCTCATACACGAGATGGTAGAGGTGGGCAAGGAGGAAGAGCCCCGTGGCCACATCATCGAATGAGTGTAGTGCCTCCACCAAAGGAATCCACTCTAACTTCACTCCTTCAGATTTATTGGGGAAGACATGTTTGTTGAGCTAGTACAAGAGAAAATGCATGTGCTCCTAGTCCTTATTTGCGGTGGCAGGTAGGCTAAAGGTGCTCTTGGCAAACGGGAAGAAGCCTACAAATGAAGTCTCATAGCTCTTGAACATTGAATGGGCGTACTCTAGCTGAATGATGGAGTCAGAGTCGCCCGAAGCTTCAGCAGTCGGGCGAAAGGAGGAAAACCAGTTATGGGTCACATCTACACATCGGCCCGAGGGCCTTAGCTCAAAGACTTAGGCCATGTCAAGGACGGTCGGAGATATGGAACCCATTCAAAGATCAAATATGTTGGTCCCCGTGTTCCAAAAGAGGAAAGATGTGGTCAAAAGCTCAGGCTTGGCAACCACCGTGACCTTGGAGAGCATAATGAGCTCATAGATGCCGTTATTTATCCACTTCTTTTTTAAAATAGGCTCAAGCTCATTTACCCATTGTACCCAGGCCTCGTCCTTCATCAAGGGAAAACCTCTTCGATGAGTAGACCATTTGGAGGAGAAAATGCCAACTTCGGCGAAATATAGGTTGGGGGTGAACCAATTTGCTTTAGGCATGTTGTTCTCCACAACAATTAGGGCCCTGGAAGTCCAGGCAAGCCCCAGGGAGTGTACTCCTCCCTCTTCGAAGAACATTGAAGTGTTTAGGCTAGCATGAGGGCGATGAAGACCGTTGAGAAGGCGGCGCATATTGACAATACCTTCGCCAGACTCGTATGTAGGACGAGTAGTTTTGGGTGCCATTTGATGATTTTTGAAGAGATGGAAGAAAATGAAGGGCAGAAATCAAGAAAGAGGTTGAAGACAAGTGAGTTCTAGGAAATGTGGAAATTTTGGAAATTCGGAGGATTAGAATTGCTAAGGTATTTGGCCGAAGAATTTAAGTGAAGATTATATAAGGAACAGTTAGTTAATGTTGGAGATCGTGGGTTAGTGCAAAGGTTTAGTTAAAAATGGCTATTTAAAATGGTGCAAGTCCCAAGTAAAAGCATGTAGTTCATTTTAATCATCATTAAGGCCTCGATTTGCAGACTTAACAATGATTAAAGGGAGCACTATTTGGGTTAATATTTGAATATTGGGCTTGAATGAAGGAAGGCCCAAGGATGCCAAATTAAATGAGGACTTGCCCGAAGCCCAGCATCAAGCCCAGAGACAAACTAAAGCCCTCTCAGCCAAGGCATAAGCCATGTTCCTATGACTGAAGTGACAACTGACAGAGACCAACTCACTGCTAGCCAAAAAGCACTTTATAATGGCATAAAGGTGTAAATACATGATGACTCACTGCCCTTGAGAGCCCTCGGCCAAGAACAAAGTTGTAACAATCAGGTCAAATCACCTATAAAAGGAAGAAGAGACAACAGAGACAAGGACACTCAAACAACTAATTAAACAACATACAAACTCTGCTCTCAAGCCATATTTGCATCCAGAAAAGCTGAAACCAACCTAGATTCAGTCTTTTTAGTCATAGTCTCTTAGAAAAGCTATCATTTATCTAGTTTAAAAGCTCTGTTACCTTCCCTAGTGTTGTAGTATCAATTCCCTCGTGTAAAACCTATTTACCATCCATCCTTTTTAGCATACAACCTCTGTAAACTCAAAGAGAAGTGGCTATAAGACATTCAACCTTGCCCGAGTCTTTTTGTTTATCCTTTAATTTCGTAGATCTATCGTTTAAATGTACTTTTCAACATGTATTCAAGTTATCACTAGTTATTTCCTACTTAAGAGTCTCATTTGCACCTAGATGTAGTTAACTTAATAAACCTATTTTCATTAAGAATAATATGAAATGGAGGAAATGGTTTAAAGGGCTTTGGACTCCCTTCATTTGAACATACAAGATCATAAACTAAAAGTCCTTGTTTACAAGGCAAGAAAAAGAACTTAATGGAGACTTAACCCATCTATGATAGTCATTTGATAACAAGAAGTTTGAGTAACTTGGGATGCAAGTAACCACTCAAAACACATCTATTTCAACATCTGTTATACTGAGATAACAGCGGCACGCCTAGCACTTTGTTAGTTTTGATTGTGAGCCTCAAGGCCTACACCTAATGCCCCACAAAGGCACCTTTCAAACTAACTTCAAACTCATCTTGTAGCATACAAAGTAGCAAGAGATCACCCGACGACCAACATCACCAAAAGTGCCATTCACCCTTAGAGAGCTGTGTGAGGGGCCATCCACCTTTGCCTCGAACAATTAGTAGGTCTGATCATAAGTGGGAAGTTCTGTGATTTCACTACAAAATGTGTTGAGGAGGAGTCAAGTTGATTCCATATAAAATTGTATGCAGTTTTGTAATTTGGTCACGAAATGATTTGTGAAGGAATTCCTTCACAATTTTATAAGCCAAATATTATTCTTACAATGTGACTTAGTATTATAGTTTAGTGGTATTCATTTTAACTAGTAAGTGAGAAGTCTTATGGTCGATTCTTATCTAAGGCGTATTCAAACATGGTTGAGCCATTCAATGACTTAGTATGACACCCGTGTCGTGTTTTTCTGTTAGTGTGAATAATGGGAATAGTATTGTTCACACTAAGATATTTTTTTAATACAATGGTACAATCATTCATTCTCTTAGGGTGAATAATATCATTGTATTAAAAAAAAAATCGTACAAAATTTCTCCCCTTCTTTCCCCTCGTAACATAGCATCATTTCACTGTTCAAACTTTATATTTGAAACTGTTTGTTCTTTTTATCATCTAAAGATCTTTTCTAGAAAAAATTACTTGATTTGATGAATGTTTAGTCATTCATATTGAATAAAAGAAATTACAGAATCATTGTGAAGATATTATTTATTGCTTTAATACTCAATTTTTTCAAAACGACTAACCGAAAACTATGAACATCTTAATAGTTAGCAACAAAAATCTTCAACATTTTTCAGTTGCTTTCTAGTGAACATAATTATGTTCAATAGCTCAGCACCACTATCTTTTAATTCGTCATGATTTCTAGAGATTGTGGTTTTATTTAAGGGAAGTTTAACGAAAAGCTTGCAGTACTGTTCATTTTAATGAAAAATCATATTTTTACACTAAAAAGTTAATCCTGATACTATTCACTTTACCCTTTATTTTGTCATCATCGTTAAAACTTAAAGTTTTCAAGCCTTTCTTTATTAGTTTTCCTTTTATTTAATACTTGAATTTAAAAGCATATGGGAATGTTATTTAGTATTACGATCTAGTGAAATTTGTCTTCATTCGTAAGTAAAAGTTTTAAATTCGACTTTTGTGATTGACGAGTTCGATATCAAATCATTTTAGTTAACTCATTGTGCGGCATATTTCAAAATTTTCACCTATTAATGTAAATATATCATTGTACTGTTATTTTCAACATTAAAAAATTATAACGTTTGATGGATAATTTTGTACTCTGAACATGTTTACTCACGTAAGTATAATAAATATAGTAAGGTTTATGTTGAATTTTCAACATCAAAATTGGAGAGGTCAAGACCATGAGGGGGCATCCCACCACGATCCAAACACACTCTCTCCTCCACCCAATGAAAAGGGAGTTAATTAAAGGAGCTTTGTGCAGCATCAAAGACAGACTGAAGGCTACTTGGCCACTGCCAACAACGAATCAATTTTTCCCTCAATTGCAAGTTGCAAATCTCAAAAGACAAATACTAAAACAAACGCTCACTCTCATCATTGTCACTGCAATCCACCACCACAGAAAAATGCGGCCGTAGGCTCAAAGTACCACCCACACAAATTGACCCTTCAAACGAACTATTTCAAAAATCTAATTTTGAGTGTTTTTGACCACTAAAAACGTTTCTAACTACATTTGACAAAACAAATGCTTCTCGTTTATAAAGGTGATTTTGGAAGAAGCACTTATCAAATGCTTCTTTCAAAGGCACTTTCAAAGTGTTGTGAGCAGAAGTGTTTTCTAAAAAAATTAGTCCCACTCGCAATTGCTCATTTGAAAATGCTTTAAAAGAAGCACTCACTTTTTTTTTTTTTTAACCTATGCAAGAAGCACTCTTACTCATGAACTGGTAAGTGTTCGGTGAAAAAGTTCTTTTAAAAAGCAAAAGCATTTTCGTATTTTCTGTCAAGCTCTATCAAAAATATATTTGACTATCTGAAAACACTTTTAACTATCTTAAAAGCACTTGCAAACATGTTAGTGTTTACTGCAAAATTCAGTACAGCATTGGCCCTTAATTAACTACGGCAGGAAGATGTTTAGTTACAATAGTAGCGATCTTAGAGACCACAAACATGATTATATTCACAAAATCAGTATTTACAAACCCAAAAACAGCATTCTCCATTGTCCAAGGATATTTGATATTTCACATTTGGTGCTGCATATGCTGGAAAGCAACTAGTGTTTGTCTTCCCAGCTATCTTCAAAATTAAAGGGGTGTCGAAATCATTCTCATAAGTCTGATGGATGTTAATCTTCTGCGTTTCTCGGCAGGATTTTGCTGATGCAAGGAGGCCTAATCGCATTATTTTCTACTTATATCCAATTATGTAACAGACTTGATTCTTCGGAAAAAGAATCACACGGCAAATAACTCGTCAAAATAGGGCCATTCTTGAGATATATATAAGCTAGTTTAGGCGTCGAAGTTCGGAAGAGAAGAAAGCCACTGTTCCATATAGTTCTTGCAATCTGCATATGCAACCAAAATGCTGATTAGCACAGATGACATACTAAGAGCATAAAAACTTAACAGAACCTTTGCAATATTACACAATCAGTAAAGTCTGAGAAACCTAAAAAGATCAAGAAACGAACAAGCAATTTGATTCCTCGTGTAAACGAGGAGCGAACTGACATAATAAGTTCAGAAATGTTCGGCACAATTGCCCCACGCACCCCCCAAAGAAGAAAACAAAAATAGCAATAAATCATCTCAAGACTTATGCTCACAAAAGGGTAACTGTGATTTTGTTCTCATGCACAATTTGCAGTTCACTTGGAAATATTCTCATGTGCTTTCACAGCATTCAGAAAGATGAGGTCAAAAACCAAGTGTTTCTTCAAGTTTTGCAAAGGTCATGCAGTCAATCTGCCAATCAGACCAGGTTGTAAAGATGAGAGTTATCCAAGTAGTTGATCGATCAACTTGAAGCTCCAAGAAAATGAGTTCTGCAAGTTACAACCTTTTCGACTAGTCTCCAAAAAACTGGAACATGAGGTCCCAAAAACCATAATATTTTGCACAGAGCAGTGCATTTCCACTTCCCCCCATATACTTTCAATTGGTTTTGAGATTTGCAACCGCAACGTTGTATACTTACAGGAAAGGACCACAATAGGATGCCTTCTCATTTTTGGTAGTAGATACTAACCAAATACGCCAATTTTTTTTATTTTTATTACAAGCGATATTTCTACTTTAATCTAAGCCTATCTAAGGGGAGGGGAAGGGTTGGAACACGGAATGCGGTGGGATGAAGAGGAGGATCCTATCCACCAGATTTCCCAGCATAAAAGAAGGTCACAGATTGATGTCTTCATAAATGACAATAATTGACTCAAAATCCCCAAAAAAGAACCAACAAATTGTTTGGTATGAAATGAACAACCCAACCTTATCCATTCCTAGAGCAAGTAATCACCCAAAACAAGATTTTCTTTTACCTCAGAAGCATCCAAATATCAATTAACTTAAATTCCCCAACAGTTGGAATTTAAATTAGATTATCTCTCGAATAAAAAATTACTCAACAGTTTCAACAGATTGCTGTTTGCAGTCATACTCAATCAAAAGCAGAAAAGATACAAGAAGTATATTTCTTACCAGATGAGAATTCAGCAGGGAGCTTCTTGATGGCACTCAAGAACTCCTTGTTAGAATCATCCACCACCTCCTTGCAGCCAGGGGTATAGCACGGGACCAGCACTGCAAAGCTATTATCCGATTCGTCATCGTCACTCTGGAAACCAGAGCCATGAGGCTCCAACCACCCAATAGACCAGTCCGAATCGTCGGATTCGGACCCTGACAAAAACGCACCACCATCCGATGGCACAATAACAATATCATACTCCCTATCAACCCTCCTCTCTTCCCTACTCTGCCATTTCCTCTTACCTTCCTCGGAGACGAGGCCATTTTTGGGCCCTTAACCGAAGAGAATTGAACCGCCCCCGGTTCCCTCAGACCACCAAAACCACACTCAAAAGAAGAATTCATTGAGGAGCCACTGTTAGCAGGCTCCTTCTCCTTCCCACTCCACCAACACCATGACAGACGAGTGAAAGAGACTGCCATTTTTCGAAACCCCAATTTAGTGGAAAGCTAAAAGATGATGGCAAAGAATTGAGGGAAAAAGGAGTAAAAGCCCAGAGAGATTCAAAATTTGAGACCAAAAGAATGGGAAGCCCAAATGGTTCCTCCCTGTTGCAGCAGCAACCAACTGTCAATCACTAACAAAAGTAAATCATATCCTAACTCAAAATCCACTACCCAAAGCAATAATTAAGACCATTTAAAAAGGTAAGGATCAATTAACCAAATCTAAAGATAGCAAAAAGCCATTGATCTTGTTTTCCTCATAGTTCAAGGGGGTCAAATTAAACAAGATAGAAACTTAGTCCAATGAATTAGTGAAACCAAATTTCAATAATCAAGCTTAAAACTTTCCATTAATAGAAAAGTCTCAAGAATCAAACTCAAAGAAAACCAACTTGAACTTAATCGAACTCCAAAAACACAATGACCCAATTGAAAATATTCAAAAATTACTTCAACTCCCTCTTTTTTTTAGTTCCAAATATACCCAGAAAAATTCACAGTAAAAACACCGGAAAATCACAAACCCAGAAAACAATCCCCAAATTTTAAGTCCGCAAACTGACACTATCTTACTTATAGAACAAAACCCACCCCAAAAACTTGAAAAGGAAGACTTGGGTCAAGACCACGAGTACAAAGTCTGAATTTTTCGAGATTCCAAAGGGGTGAAATCGGTACTTTATTGCCCAGAAAAAAATAAAACCCCAAAACTATGGCGGCAGACGGAGGTGGAGTAACCGCGAAGGAAATTTTCAGAAAGAGAAAAGGAATTAATAGGGTTTTCGCAGCCCCGTCGTCGCCACCGTCGTCTTCTTCTTTCTTCTTCTTCCTCTCGCTCTCTCTGTGTTTTCTGAGAAACCAACTGCGAGTGAACGTCTGCTTCCGAATTTATAAAAAAATCCTCTCCAATTTATTTATTTATTTATTTTTCATTTTATTTTGGACTCTACCGTGGCACATTCGACGGTCATGATCTAGCCTTTCTGTTCAGATAGTGCGGCGGAGTATGAATCTTACTGTGCTCCTCCGATCGTTTGGCATCATTTCCGAGTCGTGTAATTAATTAATGGGTTAATTTAAAATTAGGGTGATTAGTGGGGTGGATTCCAAATTTGCTGCCGCGGTGGATCTAAACCCCAATGTGTTTGCGGTTCAAGTTACTGACACGTGTAACCTACGTCAACCTATGGGTTAAGGCTTCGAAGAAAAGATTAAGAAACGAGCATGAAAATATATGAGAGTTTGACTCTCTGCATTGAATTATTGAAATTATAACCGACATCTAATTGTCACCTAGTGTTGCGGTCTAATAATTTTTTTTTCATTTATAAATGAGAGATTTTATATTCGATTCACGCTAAAGCCGAATTTGAACCACATTATTGTTAGCCCCATTATGAGGTTAAGCTCATCTTATCTCTCTTAGTATAGATAATATTATTTGTTAAAAAATGAAACTCATCTCAAATTCCTCAAGGCTCAATGAATAATACCGTTATTTCATTTTTTTTTTTTAATACATCATATTGTTACATTAGGGGATATGGGAGTTAGGCTAAGTCACATAATGGGCAGTCAAATTTGGTATCGAATTCGTCATCTATGAAATTCGAACCTAAAACCTCTCACTTTTAAGCGAATGAAGAATATCATCAAACCGTAGTACTGAGTGACAATACTATTATTTCATTGGAAAAAGAAATAGAAACAATAAGAGTGATGAATATGAGATACATTCTTAGTGCCATCACATGTTTAATAAATGTTTATTATAAAAAATATGAACCGCAAGTTGAATAAACTCTTGTATTGTTGCAATTTGCATGGGTAATGTCATGGTCAATGACTCATATGCACAGCCTAATGGATACAAAAAGGACCAACAGTCCCCTCCATTTGGCACGTTACATGAGAATGAAATGATGAAAAGGCTACCACCAAAAGGTTACCAAAAAAGAGTAAGACGCTATTATATTATAAGTTATTGTGTAAGTATTATTTATGTAAAAAATTAAATAAAAATTAAGATCATTTAGTTAATTAATTGTAGTAAATAAATAAACAGCTCATATTATAATATTTATTTTTTTTTGCTAATTCCAATCATCTATTCTTAAACGGCTCGATGACTACGTGATCTCATTTTATATTCATTTTTTAAAATGATGATATTTACACAATCTATAACATGAAATGTTCTAAGAGCCAGCAACGAAATAATTAAAGGTTACCAATTCTTATCATCTATTCTTTATATAGCTTGATGACTACATGATCTCATTTTATATTCATTTTTTTTTTTTTTGAAATAATGATATGTACACGATCTATAACATGAAAAGTTCCGTTAGCCAGCCACGAAATATTAAAAGGATGAATTCCTAACAATTTTTTTTGTGGAGCCAAGTATTGGTGTATGGAAGCAAAGCTTTCAAGGTTTGAGCTTTTGGATATAATAGTGTAATTACAAGGAGGCAGTAGAATGTGGTGTATCTAGTGTTTTTGAGTATGTGGTTGTGGTGACAAGGCTCTTATCATAACTTGTGTTGTGTGGCACAAAAATGGCAAATGGATGACTTGCTAGTTGCCACCGTCCTCCAAATTGAAATCGTCAAAATGGACCCTCTTTCAACACCAAAAGTGCACATGAATGAAATGTACCATTCATATGGATGACACCACCTACTATCGACAGTTATTGAACAACCAATTGATAGGGAAATTCTTTGGGTTAACTTAACCCTAGGTTTCTCAAAGGCGATTAAGGCTATGTCTCTATGGTTTCGTGAGTTTTCGTGTCGCTGACAATGTCATGAGGTCAATGTGGTAGCTCATGTTATCGATTTATTTGCTTTAAACATTGGCAATTGTAGCGCATTATGAAATCTTGTTAGTTGTTTTTTTTTTTTTTTTGTTAGCTGAAGCGTAATTTACAATGCCAAACTAATATAGATGCAGTTTAGAAATAAAAAAAGGTAGTTTTTTTTCAAAACAAAAAAGTATCATTTTGAGTCAATTTTGTACAACCATTTCGTTTTTTATTTTCATTTGAGAAAAAAGCTCCACTCCTTCCGAAATTGTAACATTCTCCTTCAAATTCGGAGTGCATTCTTTTTTATTTTCATCAACATTTCATTTGTTTCCTCCACTCTCACAACCCATTTTAGGAAGTAAAGGAATCAGATGCCCAACCAGTGAGCTTCCATGCAATTCTACCAATGTCCATAAAGCTCTCTCAAATTTACCATATGGTAAAACTCCAAGGTGAAAAGAAAAAAAGCCACAAAGGATTTTCAAGGTAAGATGAAGGGGAATCACTTCTTTGGGTCAAATGAAGGCTACATGATATGGAGAAAGCATCAAAGAGAGTTTCACGGATATTGTGATAAAATGGGATAAAGGTGACACCGTCGATTTATATTTCAATCTTGGCCAATGGTCCTAACCAAAGGCCAAGATCTCTAAGTTTGGACATGTTGAACTCATAATTTCGAGCTCAACCAGAGTTTGACCTGGTACGTAATTTGTTAATTCAGGCTTAACAAAATCCTTGTAACTCATTCGTATGGATTTTAGATTTCTATTTTCGTTCGAGCAAATATCTAGTTGAACCCGTCTAAATTATTCCCCAGAAAAAAAAAATGGAAAATCGATCTTTGTATGTATATACCCAACAATCTTGACTTTTTTTTTCCTTTACCAAATGTCAAAAGTTCATTAGAGAGATTCCTGAGGCCTAATCAAATCTTGGTTAAAGCTAGGGTTTGTGTTGTAGGTTTCATCCATTATCGACCCCTTTTTGATTCTGTAGATGATGCAAACCCTAAACGAATTTCTTAGGAATTGGGATTGAAAGGCCCAACACAAATCCAATCCCATATTCCAACGGCTAGTATTTCACGATTCCCATTCTGTCCTAAACTTCCAAGTTCCAACACAGTTTAAAGCACTAACGCCAGTTAGTAGCCAACACTATAACGCCGTTAGTGTTGGGTCGTACAAAACCTTTTCAATTTCCACACTCGAATCCTAACGGCTACTTCTCTTTCTTTCCGAGTTTTCTCGCATTTGCTTTTCCTCTCACTTTCCTCAGCACAAAGAAGTGAAACAACCAGAAAATCGAAAACCCACAACACTTGCGTGAAGTCCTACTCGAATGTCGAATCTGTGATCTCGCAGCCAGGTACGTTTCTGGGTTCTCTTTGTTTTTCTCAAATCTTGTTTGGTTAGTGAGAAAATTTCAGGAAATTGATAGAATTCTCGGTTTCGGATGTAAAACCAGTCTAACTAGGAAACATGTTCATTTCCTGTGTTTTCCTGGAGACCAAACACTGAGTCATTGGTTGTATTATGCTAGATTTAAGCAGTTTTCCTTCACTATTTGTTGCATTTTTTTTTTCTTCTTGTGATTTTTGGGTCTGGAATGTCAAATTCTTAATTTCCAAGTTGATTTCTATAGATTTTGTTTTGTCAAATCTCCGATGTGGGGTTTCCAACAATGTTTGGTTGCTAAGACTGCCAAGAAAAAGAAGAAGAAAAAGAAAAATTGAAATCTTGATATTTGCCCTTTTGTTCTTTGTTGGGTTTAGATTCAAGCTCTTAGTTTCTTTGTGCTTCTCACTTTTTCTCACCAAACAAACAATGGAACAAAGCATGAAATTTCCACATTCAGATTTTACGGGGACCTTTTTATCCGAATCAAGGTCTTATTACGATACCCCGAGACGAAGAATAGACACAATGTAGTTATAGATTCATATCAGTTTGTTTCTCGATTCATTTAATATACATGTACTGATATGTTGTTTCGGAACATTTTCTGATTCCTTGGTGTCCTCATTATTTTCTGTTGTATTGAACCTTGACTGAAATGTTTTCTAGAAGTGAATAACTTTTGAGTGTCTTCACACATTTAGCCACAGATTTTAACTGAAAAGATGCGTGTGGTGCAAAATTTCAAGTTGGCATCTAATTGTGCTAAATTCTTGACATTTCTTATAAGTATGGTTCATCCTGTAAGGAAAGAAAAAGGTCAGAAAGACGGAGGCTTTTTTCGGTTGTTGAGCCGTTGAAACATGATTTTCCATTTCCAGTTCTAGCGCTTCAGCTGCATTGTTTTCGGTTCACGTTGTCTTGTGTTATATTGTTCTTAGTATTCATGTGATAAGAATTTGGGAGGTGTTGGATATTGAAGTTTTGTTCTGTTTGCAAACAGGTCTTTTTTGTTAAACTGAAAGGGGAAAAAATATGGAAAAGGTTTACGAAGAGCTGGACGAAGTTAAAGCTGAGCTTGAGAAGCTCAGGGCAGAATATAAAAGCAAATCAGAACTATACGAGAGCTTGAGGAAAGCACACAATGAGCAGCTCACAAAATTCCAGCAGGCAAGTTCCAAAATCGAGCAGCAGACACAAGAACTAAACAAGAAGACAGAGGAAATCTCGATGGCACAGCAGACGTGTGAAGATCTTAAATGCGCTTTGAAAGAGGAAGAGTCCATAGTTCAACATCTAAGGGCTGCAAACGATAAACTTCGAGTTGATTGTGATGAGAAGTTTAGAAAATTGGAAGACACGAACAAAGCATTGGCATTGGCTTTAGACGAGGCAAATGAAAAGAAAATGGATCAAGAGCAAACACTTTGTGCATATAAAGACGAGATTAAAGACCTCAAAGGCCGTCTATCAGTCTCACAGAAGAAATGTTCGGAAGCAGAAAAGAAAGCAAATGTACCCAAAGAGCCGAGAGAGAGAGATGAGGTGATACTCAAACTAGAGGAGGAAAATCATAAAGTTCAAGATAAAATAAAATGGAAGACGGAGCAGTTCAGACATCTGGAAGAAGCACACGACAAGCTACGTGAACAATTCAAGGCGGGTAAGAAGGAATGGGAGATGGAGAAGTCTTCATTTCTCGATGAGATTTGTCAATTGCAGATGAGTTTAGATTCTAAAACCCAAATTTCAGATAATCTTCAAAACCGGCTGCAGGGGTGCAACCAAGCCCTGGCTCATGAAGAAAGCCGGACAAAGTATCTGGAGGTTCAAGTCTCTGAATTCCAAACACGCTTTGAGAACGTCTTTTCTGATCGTGAGCATGCCAAATCGCAGCTGGAATGCTTGACTGCTCAGAGGGACAAACAAATTGCATCATTGAGACAGTCTCTAAGCACCAAAGAGGCACTTCATAAAGAAATGGGATATCAAACAAGGAAGCTGGAACAAGAAAATCAGGAGTTGCGAGCTTTGCTGAAAGAACTCCAGGAAGCCCAAATCCAATCAGCACCAGGTTCACCTTCCCTGGCAAAGCTACGAAACAAGCTCAAAAGTTTGGAGCAGATGCACAGAGAATCTGTTGCCAATCATAGGGCCAAAGAAGCTGAATGGAGCTCTCAACTGGAAAGTATGACGGCAGACCTGAACAACCATAAGTCTGAGTTAAAGAGTAACGGTGCAGCACTAAAAGAACTCAGGATGGAAGTGGAGCAGAAGCACAGGGACTGTACAGATAATCGGCTCAACAAAGTTGTATGCAACTCTCAACTAGAAAAGATGACAAGTGATGTGCGCAACTATATGAATGAGCTAGAAAGGAAAGATGCAACGATAGAAGAGCTCGAGATGGAGTTGGAATCCAATCATTTTCTAAGTATGCAGGAGCTTTCCGTCATGTTATTGGTTTTAAAACTTGGAATTTCTGGGGCACAGTTAAAGATTGCAAATGAGAAGTGTGAAATGGATCGGCATGATAAAGAGAACGAAGAAAAGATTTCTCTGTTGATGCAACAGCTGGAGATGAAGAATGATGTTCTTATTAGAGCACTGGCAGGTACTGAAGAAGAGCATGAAAAGGCAGCATCTTTATCGAGTAGAATTGAAGTTATGGATCTCATTGACAACCAGAAGCTTCATATACGGAAAGAAGTTGAAAGAGAGCTTAGAGAAGTTAATGATGCCTTGGAGAGATCAAATGTTGAGTTGGCTGAAAAAATATTTGAAGAAAATGAAATTGAATTTGAATTGCAAATATGGAAATCAATTGCAGAGCGCTTAAGAAGTGATCTTGAAGCAAGTGTAGGAATGTGTAAAGAGTTGGAAGCTTCTCTTCTTGCACAGGTAGAAGTCGAGGAAACCATAAAGCAACAAAAAAAGGGTCTTCTTTCTATTTTTGAAGAGAAAGACAAAATAATAGATAACCTCCAGGAGAAGATTGTGTTACTGGAGCAGAAGCTCGACGATGCTGAGTCAGTAAAGACAGAGACATCGATGTCCTTAGAGTCAGAGAATTCAATCTTTCTCCAATTCACAAGAGAGAAGGACAAGAACTTTGAGCAACTCGAGAAAGAGGTCCACTGGCTAGAGCAGGAATCATTGAGAAGGGAATTCGCAGGTCTCGTGATGGCACAAACTGATGCAGAGAGAACATTTGAGTATGAGAAAGAGAAACTCATCCAGCATGTCGAAGAGAAATACCAGAGAGTGAATGTTCTTCTCCAGCTTGTGGAGTCCTTGGAACACAAGTTTAACAGCTCATTAGCTTCTTTCTCTTCACAGCTAGCCGAGAAACAGTCAGAAATTGATATGATTTACGAAGCTTGGGAAAAAATCACTGCTGCTGAGGTTATGGCTGCACTTGAAATTGAAGAAAAGCAATTGATGGCCATGGAACTTGAGGATGAAATCTGTAATATACAGCAGAAACTTGAATCACAACAAAAATCCTCATGTGAGTCGAAACAGAAAGCATTGGAGGTCGAAGCTCAGTTGGAAACAAAAGAGCAGGAAGTGAAGAGACTGACTAATCAAATGAAGACAAAGCTAATAAACTCAGATCCCTTGGTTGAGGAGCTCAAGAATAAAAGAAGAAATTTACTTGAAGATGTCATTCAGTTGTCATCGGAAAAGGAAAATTTATTGCGGTTTATAGGAGGGCTGGGTGATAAGCTCTGGGAGTTCTGCGCTACGGATAAACAACTGATGGGAATGTTGGAAAGGATAATGCTCTCTTTTGACGACAAGGGTTCAGGAATGGATTTGAAATGGGATGATGAACTTGTTGATCCAGAACAAGAGAATGTGCGTACGCCTATCATCGTCAAGATATCTGAAGCCATTTCTGATAAAAGATCTCCGTTTAGAGACCTCAACCATTAGCTAGTATATGTTTCAGAATATCATGCAGTTTAGTCATAGCATGGAATTTTTTAGCTTGTGTATGACGACCCACGCGTGTGTAAGTATTTTATTTCCAACCAGAACAAGTTTCCACAAATTTGACTTATCCTTTTAATCATGTAATTTTCTTTTGCTTATGTGCATCAGCCAATGTTTCTGCAATTTATTAAGTTTCTCTTTGCAAACTCGTTTTCGACGAGAAAAATTGAAATTGGTTCATCAGAACAATGGTTCGCCTTTAGTCAAACTCAAAAGGTTTAACCTTTCACAGTGTTCACTGTTCTGGTGTCAATTACACCAGTTAACATGAAGAATCAACCTCAACGGTAAGTCTAAATGTTAGAATGCTAAATTAAAATGAAACCGGTTAGGGTTTGGTCTTAAGTAAAATCGAGCTAAACGAATGCAAAATTTTTTTCTGAGAATTACCAATGTTGTCTTACCTCTCGAGCATTTATTTAGCAGAATGCGGTTTTCCAATAAGAACAAACACCCCTTAACCGCGTGTTTTATAAAGTCGTATGGAGATCAAGCTTGAGATCGATTGTCATTTTGTCTGATTAGCAAGAACTAACAGAGAGGCAAGATGAAATGCTACATCAAAACAACATCAACTGTCCTAAAATCTGAAGGAAATGGACAGTATACACCACAACTTTCAAATTTACTAACATAAATGATCGTTTCTTTCCAATAGTACGACAATGTGGTACAATCTAGCCAATGACAAGTTAATCAGTACAATGTATCTAAGCCACTATACGAATGATAGTTACATTCAAGTAGTAAGAGCAACAATATATCAATCTCATCGTATGAATTGGTACCAGAGCAACCAAATGCTGAAACAAGCATTGCAGTCCTGAGATGGGGAAAATGATCTCTACTAGCTCCTGCTCGATGAAGCTGACTTTCGCGCAAATTCGGACAAACCGTGCCTCAAAGCTCCAAGGTTCACACCATTACCAACTAAAATGCTTGTCGCACCCATTTTTGATACCTGTAAACACCATGTGATTGATCAAACACACGAATTTCGGATGACTCATTGAATCTAATCATTTCAAATACCCGAATTCCATTTTAATATCTATGTTTTTCAATTCAATGCAGTCTTATTGGGAAAATCTTCCAAAACGGATATAAATGGTAGATAGATTACCGTTTGAATATTTCTATCCTCGTCGTCAAAGAAAAGCATCTCAGTAAAGGGTACCCCAGTGGTTGCATGAATTCTTTGGAAATGCTCTGTTTTGTGAGTCCTGCTGGAGAAAATCTCCTGCATAATTACAAACACATAATACATTCAGTTTACGCAACTGTAGATTAGTTGCTTTATCTAACATATATAACATTTAACATTCATTTGATAACCATTTCGTTTTTTCCGCTCTCCCATTATATATACTCTCCTCATATATCCAGCTCAAAAAAGAAAAAAAAAAAATCTATGAATCATGGATACAGAAACGGAGACACGATATGATATGACACTGCAATACGAAAAATCTATAAAAGTTAAGACACAATACTCTATGAATATGGAAAATAAAAATATACGATTTAAAACATAATTCATCATTCAAAATTTCAAATTCAAGTACATTTGAGTTGTTGGAGGAGAAAAGTTAGAAAACTAATATACAGTAGAAGAAGTGTGAGAGTTGTTTTCATAGTTTTAATTAGAGGGAAACTCTTTGTATTCATCAACTTTCAATTATAAATATCTCCTATCAATTTTCTCCACCTCATTATCACTTTTGAAAGTGTAAATGCATCCAACCTTCAATTATAGATATAGCTATTAATTTTCTCCTTTTTATTATCATTTTTGAAAGTATAAATGTATCCTAAAAGTCGGATACGTGTATCCTACGCCTATTCATCAAGTCAAAGCCATGTGCATTGACCATGATACGTGTCTGAAGAGTATCCAAGAGTATCGAGCAAGTATCGAATACGGGATAAACGACCAAATAGAAGTATATGTGCATCATTAGAAAAAATGATAACCAAGAACTGATCACAAATTGTTTATCGAATCACAAATTGTTTATCGAACGGGTGTGGTTTCAATTCTACTTACCACTCGATGGATTGGATTTTCATAACTATTAGGTCTTTTATTTTTAATTTCAATTAAAAAAATTGCGAATTAAAGATTAGAAAATAAAACAAGAAAATGATCAACCAACCTGGGTGAGAAACAATGAGGGGATGCCCAGTGTTTGGAGGAAAGATTTGGCAACGTCAGAAGTTGGAGATCTCGAAGCAACAGCCATGGATATTCCCTTGTCCTTGAGCGCATACAATATTCCCGAGGCTTGCGGGTAAAGATACGGCGTGTCGTCGTAGTAGCAGCACTCGCAGAAGAAGGGCCAGAGGGTGTAGTCGAGATCGAAGACGACGAGACTCGGCAAGTTCTGGTGTCGTTCGATTATCTGCAGAGCCTCGCTCTTCACCTTCTCGTCGTCGCCCATTGTTCCCTTTTGGCGTAGGTTGAAAACCTGATAAAATAATCAAAATTTGACCGTACTGGTGTAGGCAATGAAGGGGAATTGCGAGGGGGGAGGCCGACGGCAATAAGAGAGAAAAGCCAGATTTAATTATGAGGTTCGTTGTCATTTTATTTTATTATGGCTGGCTTTTTTTTTTTTTTTTTTTTTAATTAATTGTAGTATGATAGGTTAAATTATTATCTTAATATGATTACATTTCTAATAGAATAATATCTACTAAAGAGAATATTTCAAGACATCCTTACATACATTAAGATTTACATAATCACATTCTTATTCTAAATATGACTACAACATTTCCCTTGAGTGTGTAAATACTGAAACAAAACATCGCATCAGGTCTTCAGCAGATAAGGTAGAATAGTTGATGAAGTCACAAAACCTTGCTATGGTAAAATCTAAGGCAGATGAACCCATATACTAAGGAGAAAAGTGAGAAGTATGCATAATGTCTAAAATAAACGTCATACAAGACGAAAGTAGTGAACTCAACGGAGTATGATCATCGTAGGATAGGTGTCTTATCAAAACCTCGTTTGGTAGCAAAAACCCAGTGGGAAAAATGCTCCTAATCATAGGAAAAAAAAAGTACATAAAGATCAAGTGAGTATACTTCAGGATACTCCCCCTGAGTTAGACATAACTTCCAAATAAGAGAACTACAAATAATATCCCTCCAGGCCCCATGCTAGCTCCCCTTCTCTGTGCCAATTGCGAGAGGAAAATCACCCCTAGGCCCCGTGCCAGCTCCCCGTCCTTGTGCTAATAGCCAGAGGAAAACCATCTTCTGGCATTATGCCAACACCATAACCGTCGCCCAGGACGGAATCTATCTCTTGCCCCGTAGCAGAATAGGGACCACTAGGTAAGTACAAAACCATTGAACATATATATATTTGAAAAGCAACTTCATAGTATAAAGTCATCCCTCATCTATACTATAAAGAGGTGTTCGAAACATGTTCTAAATATAGTAATAATTCAAACTAACCTCAATAAGCATGTTATCTCATAAAACGTAATCATTAAATCATTCTTTTCATGTATGCATTTCTACTATTAAAACACACATTTTTAGAAGGGGTCCACTTACAGATACTTCTTCGCTGAAGAGCTACGCAAACTAGCGAAGAAGAAAACACCACAATAATTGCCCCTAAGCACATAAAGGATCCAGTTAATAAAACTATATTAAGACAATTGAATTTGGGAAAACAGACGTCGGAAACGGATTCAGGACGTCGAATTACCCTAACAAGGGTCCTGGTTAAATTTTCGAAAAGTCAACACAAAGAATATTCCAAGAATATTCCAACCAGATTTGGGCTGGGTTGATAAGTTTTGGCCGAAAGGTCCTAGGCCCAAAGGCCTAAATTCAAAGGGTTTTGGGTTAGGCTTTAAAGGGTTGGGTTTTGAAGGGTTCAGGCTTTAAGCCCAGCCCACTGTAAAAGGGTTTTGGGGTTTAAATAAAAAAGGATTTGGGTTGGGCTTCGCAAGGCTTGGGCCTCTGGACATTTAGGCTCTGGGTTTGGGTCAGATGGGCTGGGTAACCTGGCCCAAGGGCCTAGGTTGAGGGTGGTTTTCAGGCCACCCTTTGGCTGGTTTCTGGGTTGATTTTCTAATAGGAGCATATTCATGCGACTTAATTAGCTTGTTCTCGTGCATTTATGTTGTGTTTCCTTAGTTATTTTAGTGTTTAAAGTCACTTTTGTGTATTTTCAGATTATAAGGCCAAAGTGTGCAAGAAGATGCAAATTGGAGTCTTTTGGAGCGAAGGAGGAATGAATAAGCTGAAGACTTAAAGAAACGAGGATTCCTACTCCAACAAGGATTCCTACTTGAAGTAGGAAAGTTAACCCTAGGTTTCCTGTTTTGGTAATCTTTCCTAATCTTAAACGTCCATATTTTCTAGCCACTTTGAAGGCCTTGTAGGCACTTTAGGACACAAAACGAAGGCCCTAGGCCCCTTAAACCCCCTTGTCGTGCCCTTTCCCTTTCTTTCCTTCCCTTGCCGTGCAAGGGGGGCATTTTTGTCCAAAGTTATGCACTTAAACCCTATTTCCCTTTCTAAATAAACCCTAGCCGCACCTTGCAGCCATGTCCCTTTTAATTTCTGATTTAATTTCCTAATTCTAGAAGCTTTTAACTTAATTTTAACTAACCAAAATAACTTAGGGTTTTATTTTCTGAAACCCTATATATTCTACATCTAATGCAGCACCCTAGGTTTAATTTTCATTCAGCCATTCACTCAAAAACCTCTCAGCCGCAGCCACCCATTCATCTTCTCCCTTCAAGCCGCAACATCCATCAATTCCAGCCACTTCCCATCTCTGCCGCAACCATCCCCACCCTTCCAGCCACCATTCAAACCTTCCTCCACCACTCACACCCCTTGCTGCACCACCATATCCCCATAAACCCATCTACAACCAAGAAAATCATCCCAAATCATCCAAAAACATCTCTGCCGCAGCAAGGAGAAGAAGAAAGAGGAGCTTAAACGCGCAGAAATTCAAAGTGGATTCGTTGGGCGTTCTAGGTGTAATCAATCTTTTGTTCTTTATGTTTAATTTCAATTTTGTTTCTCTTTTTGTGAACATGAGAGGCTAAATCCC